TATATTGAAATAGCGACTGACGTCTAGTAAGAAAAAGAAAAATTGATACTGTTGTGCGGAAGACAACGCCACAAGGTCGAGCTCAAGAGCCTGCGTTACTTGTAGTTACTAAGTGTACGTCTTACTTATCACCATTTGGTTGTCTGTCTGTGAAGCGGAGTCATTCTTTGAACAGTATTTCTACATTTTTAGGAACGCCAACCTGATTCGCAAACTTGGATGTTCAATAATATCAGTATTGACCTCTGAAGAACCGTTTATCTACTATACCTAAAACGGTCTGTCTTGCTGTGGATAGTTTACCGTACAAATGTAGTGTATGTATTGGCCGGCCGTGTCGTACGTAGTCTCCTATGATCTCGCCCTAATTTTCTCAGATCAATTTAGTCACTACCTATTAATACGAGCCAACGATAGTTGTGGTAGAAAGTGCATGCAATCGACAACTGGATGCGATCATGGATGAGTACAACGACACGGATGCTTGAATCGAAGTCAGGTAAAATAACGAATCAAGTGTAGCCTGTGCGGGTATTCACCTGACTGAGACGCTGTTTGGGAGGACGATGAATTACTAGTACGCTCTAGCTATTCGGTCGTTGAAGGACAATTCCGTGGTAGCTCCAGTTAGATTCATCAACCGAGCGTGGCTTACTTAAACGGCGTAGGCGAAGCGATAACCTCGGCAGATTTCGACAGCTTACCTCTGCTCGTAGCATGCCTGAGACACCATCGACGTGCAAACTTCATGCAGGTATTTTTGCGTTGAAGTGGACTCGTTTTTATATGGTTTGCAACTTGTTCCAACCTTCTGATATCTGTTTCCAGTTCGACATGAGACTCGTGTAGTATGCTGTACTACATTGAGGTACTGACTATCATTCGAAGCCGGGAATCGAGAAGACAGTCGACTTATCAGTTGTCCAAAGAGAACGACAGCGCGAAATGAAGCATGAAATGAAGGAGACATGTCAATGTATCGTTTCAAGTCCACGGTTGTATACATTGAGCGTAGTTTGCCTGCTTCTGGGCATGGATCTGCTCAGCGTGATTGAATCAGAACGTGATATACCCTTAAAACAGGTATTGGTTATAAAATATTGCAATTCAATAAGTTATTCGATTTTGGAAAAAATTGTCCGATTCTATTCCAATTCAATAAAATATTACCCAGTTATTGGTAATATATATAAATAAAACCATCAAAGCAAATTTTGGTGAGAACGTACTATGCCTGGATACGTTCTGCGTGGATAAGACCATAATTCAACAATGACTGTGCTTTTCTCAGCGCACCTATGGGTTAATATTTACAAAACAGTGATCTGATGCCAGATAAACAGTGAGTGCTTACTTGGCCTTCTGAATTTGATACAAGCACAATATACGCAGACGTAACACCAGGTCATAACTAACATGTCGCAGTGTTGCTGATGCTGGATGACTTGCGTCTTTTTATACGCCTGCGCTACAGTACATGTAAGATTTCCTCGTAGATTACTATTTTGATGATACTAATATCTTACGTATTGAAAAAATATATATCACAAAAGAAGGAGCTATTGTAATGAAGACCTTACATATCTATGAATTGGAAAGATAGAGGCTTCACTCATTCCCCGGGCCATTCCGAGAATACTTTTCATTCCTCCCATAACGCCGTTGGAGTTTTGAAAGTGAGTAAAGTACTTAAATATAATGGGCAGCAAATGTACAATATTTTATTGTTGCTTTACGCAGAAATGAATTATGTCTTGTTGGCAAACACAAAGTCGTGCTGCGCACGAAGACGGTCTGAAATTTCGAGCATGGCATGTAAACAAGGGCTATAAAACTGTGCAAATAGTGCAGGTGAGTGGGATTCAAGTTATAATCATCCTCTCCATCGATATGTTACAGCATGACCACGGTGGATTTGACCACGGAGGATTTAAAACGTGCTGTGTTCGTGGGCAAGAAGTCAGGTTACTCTGTCACCTTTTTGCTGTGGTTATCTCCTTTCTTGTCAACTGTGCGACGCTTGCGCATTGTTCTTGGCTTCAACTGCGTAGGTTTTCTTTCCTGCCAATCTAAGGACACTGTTCGAACAATCTTGGGAGGCTGAGACTTCCTATGCGTAGCTTTGGAGCCTCGCATCAGCTTAAACGTCGACCAGAACCTCTTTGTGCTTGGACTACGGGTAAATGCCCCAGCAAAGTCTGAATAGGACCAATAGTGCAACATTGTACTCGAGATCTCCTTCTTGGGAAGTCCACTCTTACCAGTGGTGTAGGTTCTCTGATAGTGCAGTCGCTTCGCTTCGCAGCTCCAAGAATCAAATGCTGAGAAGTACAGTATACAAAGAAGAACAATCTACTACAACACTTCAAGTCCCTCCTGTCTTCGATTAAAAGATTCCAACGCATTCAACAGCAGAAGTTCGTCGAACTGGCAAAATAATAGGAGCTTCTGACATTGTCAAGAACGAAGGTCGGGTATTAGATCCTTAGGCTACTCACACATCTCTAACAGATGTCTCGGCACAATTAGCCGGCTCAGCTAGTGACTAAATTGATCTGAGAAAATTAGGGCGAGATCATACACTACATATGTACGGTAAACTATCCACAGCAAGACAGACCGTTTTAGGTATAGTAGATAAACGGCTCTCCAGAGGTCAATCAATACTGATATTATTGAACATCCAGGTTTGCGAATCAGGTTGGCGTTCCTAAAAATGTAGAAATACTGTTCAAAGAATGACTCCGCTTCACAGACAGACAACCAAATGGTGATAAGTAAGACGTACACTTAGTAACTACAAGTAACGCAGGCTCTTGAGCTCGACCTTGTGGCGTTGTCTTCCGCACAACAGTATCAATTTTTCTTTTTCTTACTAGACGTCAGTCGCTATTTCAATATATTACATGAATGACGTGAAGTTTCCTGACTAGCTTTCTTATGGTTCGTGAAGCGTCAAGTCGGTCTTGAGTAACATCCACATCCACGAAAATATGTGCAAGTAGGTGTCGATTTGACACAGACGGGATCACCTAATGAGATCAGTGATCAACTGCTGGGGTGATTGATTACCTTTTTATCATGTTTGGATGGCCGTGATCGCGGCTCTGGAGGTATGGATTACAAACGTCCGCCGCGAAATAATGGAATGAGTCACGCGCGGCAACCTAAACCAACTTCTACTTCACACACTCACTCTTTCACGTGATCGAAGGGGATCACATCACAATAAACACCATGACATCGGTGGCAACGGCAGAGGACACGTTGATTTTTGAGCCATCAACTCCGATTCGGGAATGGGCCGTGTCAACTACAGCGGCATGGACGAAGGAGGTGAAGACAGAAATGAAGCTACAGCGTCGTCGCGCATGTATCGCTCGTTGTCGGGAGAAAACGAAGTCCAAACTGCAGCAGATGCGCCGAGACCGAAACTGGCTGGAACAAGAAGTGAAGCAGTATCTTGCAGCTCTGAGCGACGACACCAACAGAGACGGAGAGGCCAACGCCTCCAACACGAGAAGTGAATTGTGTCGCCTTGCGCACGAGAGCGACACTTTACGGAGGGAGGCTGCTTCTCTCCGTAAGAAACTCCAGCAGTTCGATCGCTTCTATTCCCTCGTTCGAACAGACGCGCTTATCGTTGGACTACTCCATGAAGATCCTTCTCACCACCTCACGGTTCGCGAAGCGAGTAAGACCTCCAAGTGGGTATTGAGCCCGAACAGCGGCGAGTTTGGCTGGCAGGTCTGCTTCCCGAGCGGAGAACCATCGTTCTACTTCCATCCTTTCACACGCGCAGAGTTCGAAGATATACTCCAGCTGTGCGACGAGACGCTTGCAGCAGACCCACCGCATATCGAAGTCGCTGGCTCACTGTTAGGCTGGACAGTTCACCGAGCGTCACTCACACGAAGAGTCGAAGATGGCTCGATCATCTCCCACGCGAGGTTTACGACGCGTGTAGCCTGCTCGCTGGAAGAACTGGACTCCGTGATCATCTCGTCCAGTCTCGATTCATGGCCGCTAATATGGACACCACCGAGCTGGGGATACAAGGAGCGCAAGCAAGTATGTTGTCAGGTGTTGCAAGAGTTCGAAACGGATGCGTACGTCCTTGTCCACGACATCCCTGGGCCCATACGCTCCCGTTACATCAGTTTAGCACGACGACTACCCAGACAAGACAGCGGGAAGCGGTCTATCACGTACGTTATGGTGATCGCGGATTCGGAAGCCAAGTCGAAAAAGTGCACTACAGACGAGGAGAATGGTAATGTTAAGTGGATCAATGAAGGTGGCAGCTACATCAAATTCACGGAAGTGAACTCAAACTTAATCGATGTGCGCTACGACCGCTGGGCCAGTTGCCAAGATGAGCTCCACGCGCAGCATCTTTTCGTCCGTTGGGCTGAGTTTGCGAACGAGTGGGCGCAGAGGATGGTTCATTGGAAGTTGCTCAGATTTAACCACCAAAAGTAATTTGCGGAGCTTAGGTATGTTTCTGTTGCGATGCAATATTTTATTACAACGTTTGAAACCGGTGATAAATCCCAATACGACAGATTGGGCTACTCATTACTGAATCGAGCAGCAAAGACTATCGTCACCGTTCATTCGAAGCTTACCAGACGCGCGAGTTGTTCTGTTGATCGTGCTGAGAAGACCTTGACTTGAACTTGCGGCTGGAACTTGACTACTA